CATCCACACATACAAAAGTTATCCTGCTCACAAGAAAAATTAACAAAATGCCCCCTGTAGTCACAACGAAACCCCCCACGAAGCTCAGTAACGAACTTAACCTTGGTCCCGACAATAGTTAGCACCACACCAAGAATTATAATCAACATTTTACAAATACTTGAGTTATTTTGCTAACAAGCCACAAACACAAAAGGTGCACTAACGTGACGCACGGACCCCCCACGAAGCCGAAACTTGTACTTGAATTTGGCCTCAACAATGGTAATCTGCCTGCCAAAAATCATGGACGTCGAATCATGCCTTCCAGAGTTATATCGCAAAATCCGCAGTTCCCCACACTCCGGCGAGACAATTTCATAGTCCTTCTGACGAAGACAATTAAACCCATCACCTATAAATAAGCCATAAAACGACTGATCTTATTGGAAAGAGAAAACCCTCATGTATAATCAAAAAAGTATAAAGAAAATACTAACACCGAGATTTTCACAATAGCCCGTCGCGCGAGGCATAGACAGCACCCACAGAACGTATCAGAGGTGAACGTTTACATATTGATAATTTTATTATGGACCAATAAAATGTTTCGTCACATCAGATCACATACACAGAAACAAGGAAACAATGTACGTTCATCCGACATACGTAAGAGTACTTCTCTGGAAGCCATATTTCAAAGAATAAGTTGTAAAACTTGCTCCTGATGGTGTTTTCAGCACCAAGGACAGACCCAATTCCAGGACCGGTGCACACCAATTCTTCCGCAACAGGGAAAAAGTGCGCGGTACAAAAAGTGACGTAAGCTTTCGATGGTTCAGCTCTGAGTTCACATTTCTCATGATCTGCTACAAAAGGGCATTAAATACTAACTTGGTTGAAAAGTGAAAGAATGGATGCGTTTTGACCCGAGGCTTACTTCCGGGTGTCCTTCCGCCTTGGTTGCGGTGCTTCGGTTAGACCCAAATTTACGCGATTAAAATCAGAAACTCGAGAACTTGGTAATCATTGAAAAAAGATGTGATTCATCGTTTTCATTCACATATTGTACTTTCGTCTTTTTGTTCGAAGAAAATTTACTGATTTTACTTCCAGATCATAAAGGCAGAAACTTTTTTAGAATTGACAGTTTTCTGTCACCCCTGCAATAACGTCGGACTTGGTACAGTCCGTTCATTTCGCACATGTCGCGCTGAGAGAATGTTCTGAGTTCCCCGACCCCGAAATTTTTGGACAAAATTTCAGTTTCTTGTTCCCGAATATTCTTCCTTTCGGCGTTTTGAACAACATATGGAGTATTCGGAACTTCTATGTGGATTTGGGCCGGAAGCGTGTCTGTTTGGAGGAGAGAACCTGTATTTTCTGACTGGACATGTGCTTGTGGGGAAGAAGACAAAATGGCTACCGTTGTGAGGACATGCATTTTCTGGTGGTGAGGGGAAGACTCCGTAGGAGAAAGAGAGAGGTAAAATTCCAACATATTTAGTCGAAAAAAGTCAACATGAAATGCATGGCAAGTTGTATCCCGAAAAAAATTGGTAGTTTTATGAACATTTTGCGTTATTTTCGATGTGTGCGTGTTTAAAATTAAATTAAATATTGTTGTTTTCTTCTTCTAAAGTTTGACCTACTTTATCGAGTTTATTTCAAAGTCATCCTTGACCTTCGGTAATAAAAAAAACAAACAGCTTTCGTGTAATTGTACAACGTTTTTGAAGAGAGAAACAAAGAAAAAGTAAGAAAATTTGACTGCCTCGTGGCGAGGGGACCACCTGTGCAACTGCGTCACACGTGGGTATAATAATTATTGTTCCCGCCTTGTTTCTGCACTGTAGATGCTTATTACTGCTAACCTAATTAGCGCTAAGGTCCGTAATTCCGGTCTTGTATTCTTTTTTTTCGCAATTATATATTGTTCGTTTTAAAAAGAAATATTGATAAATTTCAAATTTAGCACTACACGTAGTAGATTTTGAGATCCAACTTGCTTTGAAAGGCGGGACTTGGCGGCAGATTATTTGGAGTAATTTTTCCATAATTTATTTGCAATCCAGTCCACAAAATGCTAATTTTAATTTAAGGTAACTTTTCTTATGGCTAGTTAAGTTATTTGTTATTTAAGACAAATGTGTAAGGCCATGTGTTGATTTGATTATATGGATGACATCTTCCGGGAGCCCCAAAACTGATGCGCGCGTGCGAATAAAAAAAAAGTTTTGCAAAAAAAAAAAGTTCTTTTCATTATGAAATCTACGTGGTCATGAGGGTTGAGCAAATGGCACAGAATATGGTTTGGCAAATAATCTAGTCTTCAAGTTCATTTCTTTACAATTTCGTCTTTTTTCGTTTGATTTTGGCATTCTACGACATTGGTATAGTTTTTATTAATTTTTTGTAACTTATGGTATATTTTTGCTCATTTTGCAACTGTTTTGTACGATTTACAGTATGGTTGAAAACTTTTTTTTTTGGAAACGGCCGAAAATTCATGCACGCGCGGATGTCATCCATATAATCAAATCAACATGACCTAACATATAATGTTGTATTAGTTAGGTGGCTGCTGACTGATGCTGACTCCTGTCTGAACCTGACAAGAGAAGACTGGACCAGACCAGATCTGGTGATTTGAAGACACCAGATGAATATCAGGTGAGAAAAATCTGTATTCTGTATTTTACCTACCAATATCAAGGCTAATGATGTTACTTGAGACAAGTGTGTAACTTCTAATGTTGTATAGTTAGGTGGCTGCTGACAAGACCTGTTTTGAAGACCCCAGAAGAATATTAGCTATATAGGTGAGAAAAATCTGTATTCTGTATTTTACCTACCATTTACTTGGTATTATTTGAGATAAGTGTGTAACTTTTAATGTCTGCCTAGTTAGGTGGCTGCTGACTAATGCAGTCGTGAGGACTACTGTCTGAACCTGGCAAGAGAAGATTGGATCAGACCAGACCTGGTGATTTGAAGACTCCAGAAGAATACTAGGTGAGAAAAATCTAAATTCTGCAATTTACTTACCATTTACCTGGTGTGTTTTTAAACAAATATGTAACATATAATGTTGTATAGTTAGGTGGCTGCTGACTGATGGTGACTCCTGTCTGAACCTGACAAGAGAGGACCAGACCAGACCTGTTTGAAGACCCAAGAGGAATATAAGGTGAGAAAAAAAATGATTTCTGTATTTTACGTACCATTTACTTGGTGTTATTTGAGACAAGTGTGTAACTTTTGTAATGTCTGAATAGTTAGGTGGCTGCTGACTGATGGTGACTCCTGTCCTGACAAGACAGCAGACCAGGTGCACATGACTTGAAGACCCAAGAGTGAGATGACAGCATCCACAGGTGAGATGACACTTGTATCAAAACAAAATCCATATGGTTCTAACACTCTGCAACTTCCTTCACTTAGGTCTTGCACTTCACAGAAAAAAAATCCTTTAACAGTGAATTCAGTGTTTTTTTTCATCACACTAATTATCCTTTCATATGATTATAAAAGGTGTGTCCTGAGGGTCAGCTGTCCTGACTGGACGTGGGAGAAACCTGTGATGATGGGTGACTCCTGTCTAAACCAGACCAGACAAGTTCAGCAAACCAGTCGACTTCAAGAGACATCGTGAAGTGAAGAATCTGTACAGGTGAGACAATGGTTCACAACTTGGATCCTTTCTTCTTGGATAATGTGAAGAATTCTGAGGATGAAATGTTTCCTGTAACCAGTAGCTATAGCGATGTGTAACAACAACTTTCTACACACTTTGATTTCTGTCTTAGACCCCATCACATAACTCTTTTCTAGACTCGTTT